ATGTAAGACAATTCAACAAATACAAAAGTTAAATTAATTTCAGTGGAACTTTGAACAACAATAATAAAATAAAGTCAAGCTAGAAATACAAGAGTTACAATAATTTTGATGAAAAGGTGGTCACCAATAATAAAAGTAACTGAATGAAACTATTAATACAGCATTGAATTGTCCCACAGTGAGTATTCCCATGGCAAATTGACTGTAGCAAGTTGGCCATGACAAGTTGTCCTAGACCTGGCTCAAGTTACTATCAACTTCTGGACAGATCTCGTGCATTTTTTATACCAATATGGAATTGTTATTTCAAGGATTTTTCCCCAATCTACAGCCATAGATTTTAAAGTAATAACCAGATCTGATTCTACTTAACTTTTTCAAGATCAGCCAAGGTTGGCTAGTGCAGAACCTGCTGTGAATGGAACAAAGAGGGAGTTGAGAAAGAAAATATATTTGTTCCATTTGAGAAAAGAGAAGAAATTATCTTTTCTTTTCAAATGGAGGGAGCAATCACTGTGTGTGAAAGGACAGACACAGTGGTGATATATGTTTACACTGTAGACTGATTAAGATTTCTGACTGCCTTCTCTTCTGATGAAAATTGCAACTCCTGAAAGTTCCAATTCACATAGATAAGCCAAAGAAGAGGTCAAGCTTTTCCTTGGAGATGTCCATAGGTGGTGTTAGGAAAATGATAAAAAAACAAAAAAAACCCAAAGCCACAACAGGAAGGTAATGGAAGGAGCAGAGCCAATAACTATAGCAATTTTGATTGTGACGTGGCAGGAATTTATTGAGAGGCAACAGCATAGAATTGTAGAGATGTGGAGCTGGATCAGATCACAAAAATAGTTTAATCCAGCCTGCTATAATGTGTAGAAAAACTAAAGAGCCTTGGTGGCTCAGCAGATTAAAGCACTGTTAAGTAACACTAGCTGCCTGCAATTACTGCAAGTTCAAATCTCACCAGGCTCAAGGTTGACTCAGCCTTCCATTCTTTCGAGGTAGGTAAAATGAGGACCCGGTTTGTGGGGACAATAAGCTGACTTTGTATAAAAAAGAACGCCGCTTTGGGGAAGGCTATTGCTTAACACATTGTAAGCCACCCTGAGTCTTGGAAAAGGGTGGCATATAAATCGAATCAATAATAATAATAATAATAATAATAATAATAATAATAATAATAATAATAATAATAATAAAAAAAAAAACCATCTTGAGGGGTCTACCCATTTTCTTCTTAAAAGTCTTGGAATTGGAAAACTGATGAATTCTGTAGGTAATGCTGCTTGTATAAGGAGATGACAGACTTATCCCAAGGAAGAGGTCAAATGTGTCATCAATCTTGAGTCCCTTTGTGCCCACAAGAGTTCTAATTCCAGCCCATCTTTCTTTATCAACTGCCTATTAGCTTTGACTATAAGTAGTTCAGATTCTTGTAGAGATCTATCATGGAATAAACTTGTACTCATTTAAGCAGCCTTGGTTCCTAGTTTTTTAAGCCTGATAGTTCCACTATTGTACAGCTCTTTTTGTCAGACGTTTTTCCTTTTATTTAAATCAAATATGGGTAATTGTAACATATATCTATTATTTCTGTCCTAATTTCTATAACAATGTATAATTGTTTCTGACAATCTTCCTTAAAGCATATTTTTATATAGCTGAATGTTGATACTAGTCTCTCCACAGTCTTCTTTTTTCAATGTGCATTTCCCAATTTTCTTCCATCTATCCTTATGAAGAATATCCCTGTATCATATTTGCTCCAATGTAGTGCTTCCAAGCTATGAATGTATTTTCCTTCCTAAATGGAGTATCTTATATTTCTATTAATTGAAAGGCATCTTGTCCTCTGAGCCCAATCTTCCAATCTGTCTTGATTAGATTGCAATTTTTTGTTTTCGTATATATTGCCAAACCTTCCAATTTTATGTGTCCTCCATAAATCTGATAAGCAACCTAGCAATCCCATTAAACAGATCATTTGTAAAAATGTTGAATAATATTAACTTAAAGATAGACATGGCAGGAGCCCTTGGATACAGCTCTTCAACTTAATGTAAAGCTATGAATGCCAAATTTCTGAATGCAGATAGCCAGCCCGTTGCAGATAACAGCTGCCTTGAGTCTTCGGAGAAAGGCGACATACAAGTTGAACAAACAAACAAACAAACAAACAAACAAATAAATAAACAATGCTTCAACCTGTGCCTCTCTAAGAACAAAATATTCTCACAGTGCTTTTGTTGCATTAGGAACTATCCAGCTGAAAACATGTAGGATGGCCATTTCCTGTAAATTATATTGCTTCAAAAGGAAAAAGAAGAAGCTGTTTAATACTTGCCCTTCCTCAAAAAATTCAAGGAAACATATATGCAAAGGTGGGGAATAGCTTTTATATTCCTACAACAATTATGTGAGAAGTTGAGCTAAGAGATATTGAGTGATCAAAGATCACCCAATGAGCTCCATAGTTAAGCAAAAACTTATATCTCCCCAGTCGCTCTCTAGACACAATAACAAACTGGTTCTGAGTTATATAGAAGGAGGGAATTTTTAATATTCTTCTTTGCAACTGACTTTTTGCTACAACTTTTCCTGGCTGAACTACTATTCCTCTCTTAAGTGTCTCAGTTTCTTATTTCCAAAAGTATGAAACTCCAAAATGAAGCAGCTCAACAAGTGAAGTATCTAGAAACCGACCCTTTTGAGTGCTCTTCTTTCATAACCTGGAGGTTAGAATTACAAATTTCACTAGCCAAGATGGAGTATTTCCAGAGATTATTCAGTGAAAGGAAAGCTTAGGCTTTTCCTCCATATTTTGAATTTTCCCCTGAAAAATGTTCCCTTCCCACTTGAGGAAAACTTAACTTCAGAGCTGGTTGGGAATTAGACAAAGGACAATGTAAATTAAACACTGGAGAAAGCATTGTATGAAGAGAAGAATTATATATTTATTTTATTTCATTTCTATTCCTGTACTTCCCTAAAAGTATTTTACCTCACTTTTTTTCTATCTAACCCTCTGTACAAAGTCTCAATATTCCCAGTGTGCATGGGGAATGATGGGAGTTGTAGCTCAACACATTTTCAAGCTGTATTATTTGTACATTGATGATAGATGATCTATTGGGGACTCCATGATATGTACAGTCTCTGGGGGCATTTTTTGTGGCAGACAGAAAGACAAAGGCGAAATCAGAGTTCAGGTACTCACTGGGTCCAAAATCTCCTATATGTACAGCCTCTTCTCCCAACTGTGATTTTTTTTCCAGTTGTCATTGGATTAAACCCCCTGATCATTAACCATGTTCACAGGAAATGACAAGCACATTTTCATCTAATCTCATTTAATGGCTCTTGGCTGGATGGAGTATTCTATGGTTTTCTAAATTTTACCATCTTCTTCAATATTCAATGGCACAATTGTGTTTAGTATGATTGAAGCATTCCAAAGATAATAGAGACAAATGAAATGACATTGGCTGCAGAAGGCACATGGTGGATGAAGGCATTCTCAGACAAACCCAAAACATACTTTTAGCTGAAAGCACTCAATCTCAATGTGAAAGATACATGAGCAAGGAATATATAAAAGATGCTATATATGTTGACACTGTAGCAAAGAATGAAATTGCATGAATTTTATGTTACAATTTCATCTATCCCATTATTGACTATCTAGAGGTGCTGAATCGTTATTTCCCCAACTTGTAAAATCTGGGATTTGCAATCAAAACACATCTGGAGAATATTACATGAATGAAAGCTGGTTTAGAAGTTGACACTTAAAGTCAAACAAATCTGTCTATCTTGCTTTTGTTTTGTTCCTTTTTGAATTCCAAGGTTCTGCAAGGCAACTACAGTATACAGATTTTTAGGATTATATTTCCTGCTGAGTCAACTAGCAACACAATCAGTCAATCCATTAGGACAAAGGATTTCAACTTTTTGTTTGGGGGACATGTTTGAGAGGGCTGAAAATCACAGAGGCTAACCATTACAACATGGCAGCAGGTGGGGGAAGAATCAAAACACAGAATAATTAGCATTGAAAGAAAAATGTTGATTTATGAGGGAATATTACCTTGCTGAGAGTTATTTTTGTCATTAGTATTATTTCAATAATTTTCAGTCCCAGTGCCTAACTTTACTCCCACCCCCATCACACAATACTGTAGAACATAAGGAGGCTCTGAAAGCCATGTGGAGCAGCAGTTGGTAAAAAGAACATTGATTTTTGAGTAACATTATTCAAGACCATAGTTGGAGATACCCTCATTCTTTATGGCCTATGATACAATAATAGACACGTGTTGTCTTGTGGAGAACAGAAGCATTACTATTTCAACTCATTCATTGGTGATTATGTTCACAATCAACTATAAAGTTCCTGCATTTAAAAGTATGGTCCACTGTAGTTAGAGAATTGATATTAAATAAATTATACCAGTAATCAAGATGGCATTGAGTTTTCAGATGAAGGCCAATAAGGTAAAGAAATGGTTGCAACATTAAGCTACTAATTTTTAAAAAGAATTAGAAAAGTGACAATTTAAAATTCATATCTGATTTTTGCAAATATCAGATTTGGAATATGACATTCTTAAAAGAGTAAGGGTATCAGAATGATAAACTCTAACTCTTGAATGCCAAAATACTGGTAACAATACTTCTGTTTGTATTATAGAAATAGAGGTTTATCTGAAGCAATAAGAGAATATTATATCAGAAATTCCTAAAACAATTTAAATTCTAATTTGGCATTAGAGTAATTGCCCTAAAAGCTAGAATTCTACGTTTATTGGATTAAAATTCTCATTATCATTAGACAAAACAGCTTCTCTTGTCTAAGACATCTGGGTACCAATTTGGGAAGGGGATTTTGAAGCAAAGTATATTCTGAAATATCAATAATCATCATTCAGAGAAAGAGGAACAGAGAAAACAATGTAATCAGTTACAGAAAAAAAATCAATATAGCCTTCATTACTTACCGGCAAAGACATGTCGCTCTCATCCCGAAACTCAGGTAAAGTCTCCAGGCAAAAAATCACAATGGAGATAAGAATGACCATAACTGAAATGATTGCAATGATGCGGGCAGCCTGAGAGCTCTCTGGATGTTCAAAGAGCAGCCACACTTGTTTGAGGAATTCTCTCTCAGGCATGGGCTGGTCTTCTTCCTTGATGAATCCTTCATCATCACGAAATTTAGTGAGAGCTTCTTCACCGAGCTGATAGAATTTGAGTTCCTCCAAAAAAACATCAAGAGGTACATTGATTGGCCTTCGAAGCCGTCCTCCAGATTGGTAATAATACAGAATAGAATCAAAGGAAGGCCTGTTGCGATCAAAGAAGTATTCATTACGCAATGGGTCGTAATATTGCAAACGCCGCAGAGGATCACCTAGTAAAGTATCGGGGAATTGCCTTAAAGTCTTTGCTTGTGTCTCAAATCGTAGGCCAGAAACATTTATCACCACCCGCTCACAACAGTCCTTGTGGGAATGTCCCCCACAGTGGACAATGGGCTCACTTTCCCCTGCAGTCAGTGGCAATAGCTTCTCCATGGTAGAGCTGGCAGCTACAGAGAGCCTGAGATGATGTAGGTGGTCATGATTCAAAGTTCACCCAAATGCTGAGGCCTTCTCCAGAAAACTCCCAGTTCAGATATTCTATCCTGTATCCTTTCCAATATTCACACTATTCTTTCCAATATTCACACTATTTGTATCTCAGCTGGCATCTTTTCTTCTACTTCTCCTTCATCTATTTTCACTCATTCACTTCCTGCTTTAAACATATCTGCTCTAGTTTCTAATTTACTTCTCTCCTCCCCCTCCTTTTGCTATATTATTTCCTTAGTTCATGCCATCTCCTTTCTTTTCCTGCCTATCTTTTAAAGCTGAGTCTTTAACCCTGGATAATCATTCTATCATCTCGACACTACTCTCAAAATTGCTTTGGTATTTCCAAAGGGGTTATAGCCACAACTTAGATTCCCCCTCCCCAACTGTCCTTCTCTATGTCCCCTTTCTGAGAACACCCCTGTCTTCCAGTGCCAGCGTCAAGGTTTCTGCCTGTAAACATTTTCCCTAGACCTAGGGATATCAGGTTGCCCCAGGACGTTACAGACTCTTAGCCCCCTTGCCAAAATCTCAGCACCGCCTCTAACTCCATGCCTAAAAGCAATCCCAACAGCACTCTGATCAGAAGAGGAAAGAGCTAAAAATAACTGAGAGTGACATAGGGGCAGGCAGAACGCCCAGGGAAGAGAAAAAGGTGGGCAGGACACCTTCAGGAGAATACAGAAGACTGCCAGTGAGAACTTTTATGCTCCCCTATAAAGAGAAGTAGTGCTTGAACCTGGACATCCCAGTCTTTCAAAGGAGGCTAGGGTCTCATGAGTAATATACAAGAGTAAGCAAAGATTGAATGTGGACTCAAATGATACTCTGAATCATAAATTAGAGTTGAGAAGATGACAAACAAAAGCAAATTTAGACTCTATCCTTTCCAGAAACTATCAAGTACTTTCTGAGTTGTGGTTTCAAGTTTTGAGAGATCAGAGGCAACACAAACATACAAAGTGTTCCTCCCGTCCACTGTATTACTTAACAAGATTCCTTGTATTATCTAAACTTATATTTGTTCCTCCTTATCTGTCTTCATTGTCATATTTTTCTTTGGATTTTTCCTTTCTTCAATGCTAAACATCTTACAAAAACCTGATTCTGTTGTGTTCTCACCTCCCCCCATATTAAGTATGCCTTATACACAGACTGTATAACTAAGGCAATACAGTACAGTATGCTGTTTACATACATCAGAGAAAATTTAGGAAAAATAAATACAAAATAAGCAAACATATTTCACAGTACTGATATAGTCATCTATTGTTCAGCCTGCTGTTCGAGTACTGACTTGAATGTGAGTAATGTCAAGGTGTTTACTTTCCTTTTTTATACTTCTCTAATTTTAAATTGGATTTTGACAGAGTAGCTCTTCAAGAAATTATTTCCTGAAATAGAGGGTTGTTCTTGAATATGCTTTTAGATAAAGGATTTCCCCTGCAGGACATGTAACAACCGTGTACAGAATTGTTTTTGCTTCCTTTAGATATTTAACTGGTCTCTTCTTTGACCTGCTTTAAGATCTGATCAAAAACACATTTCTCTTGCTTTTCTTTCAGGATGTTCTCTTTGGTTCCTTTGATCATTGTCTTCCTGTGCTAGCTTTATAATTGCATCTTTGGCTTTCCATTTAGCTTATTACAAAGTTGGCCCCAAACTTCTAACATCTCCCTTTTTCTCTCAAATTTGTTTGACTATAAAAACATACATGGCGTCTGTTCACATTTGTTCACATTATCCAATGTAATTTTACATTATTTTATCATTAAGATGTAGCAACCTGATATATACTTCAAGTATTTTTTTTCCTCATTCTAAAATGTTCTATAATATTAAAAAGAAAGCCTCCCACCCTCCAAAAGATATAAAGCAAGGCCTTATGTTTTGAATTGAAAAGAAAGTTTATGGAACCAGATTATGAATCAGATCATTTTCTTGATTTGATCTATGTGAACATCTATTTCTCCATTTAAAGTATTTTGTATTTTTTAAAAAGATTTAGCTCCTTTCTCTAATCTCATGCCTTCTACTCTTTATGTGTCTGGGATTCAAGATTCTTTGGTCTAACCCGGGAGAAAAAGAGGGTGGGGAGAGAGAAAGAGAGATGAGAAAATGATGGAGGGAGAAATTAAAGAGAGAGGAAAGAGAAACAAATAAGAGAGAGAGAGAAGAACGGGAAGAGAGAGAGAGGGAAAGAGAAATGAGAGAGCGCTGGAGGGAGAGAATGAGGAAAAAGAGGAAAACATGAGAGAGATAAGGGGAGAGAAAGAAAAGAGAAAGAAAGAGGGGGGAGAGGGAAAGGAAAAAGAGAGAAAAACAAATGAGAGGAAGAGAAAGAGAAATGAGAGAGAGAAAAGGGGAGAGAAAGAGAGAGAGAAATGAGAAAATGGTGGAGGGAAAATGAGAGAGAAGAAAAAGAGAAAGAAACAATTGAGAGGGAGAGGGAGAGAAAAATGAGAGCGAGCTGGAGGGAGAGGATGAGAGAGAGGGAAAGGGAAACAAATGAGAGAGAAGGGGAGAGAAAGGAAGAAAAAGAAAGAAAGAAGAGAGGGAGAGGGAGAGGAAAAAGAGAGAAAAACAGAAATGGGAGGGAGGAAGGGAGGGAGGGAGAGAGAGAGACCCATTTCCCACAGAAAACACCAGGGGCCACAAAACCTGGGTAGGCGTGGCTGGGGGTGTCATGTGACTAGATGGGAGTGCTGTTGAATTGGCCACACCGACCCAGGTTTTTTGGCTCCCAGTGTTTTCTGTGGGAAATGGGTCCAAATGGCTTTGAGTGTTTAAGGTTGCAGACCCCTGTTCTAGCCCATCTTTTTCACATTGATTTGGAACAAAAGGCCAAACTAGGTTTAATGATATTGTGCTAGTATTCCACAGATAAGAAATGTGCAGCTTATTTTCCTGTAGGGTCAGGAACTAAGACTAGTCTACCATAACTGATCTTCTGAACAACTGCTAAGGTGCCATCTGGTATTTATCCAGAATTTTGCAGTCCATGTATGGTAGTTCTTGGCTTTTGAGTTGTGTGCTAGAGGTCATACTCCATAACATTGTCAGGATCTGGATAAAAACTTTAAATTAACTAATTACAACTAATTAAGCAGAGCTTATATATTTTTTATTTGTTGGATGATTTTATGAAATAAATTAAGGAAGCAACGGACATTGGTGTATTTTTCCACTCAGACTCCTAAGATATACTAGCAAAAACAAATTTCTATCAACTTACAGTAGACTGGCAAAGATATGCAAAAATTCAGAGAACGGTATGCCGTAAGCATTCAGTAGAAATCTTTTCACCATTACTAATCTTAAAGACAACAATAAATATCTCAGAAAAGTTATATTTGGAGTAGAGTTTAAAAATTATTGCCCTAGCTAATTTTAAGAGGCCCAATATTACTAAAATATTTCATTCTGCTTACTGTATTACAGAAGCTAAAAGAAAAAGTTAGTTGAGACCAAATCTGTAGCCAGAAAATGTATGGGCAGATGACCTTCATGCAAATGGAACAGCACTCTGTGTGTGTGTGTGTGTGTTGTGTGAGTGTATTTTAGGTGATGCTGTTCCATTTGAATGTAAGGCCCTGCTTTAGATTTTTTTTTCAATTTGTACATATTAACACACACGTATAGGTGTTTATGTGAGATTGTGCACATGTGTATATGCTTGTGTCTTTCAAATTGAAAAAAATTGAAAAAAATGGAGTAAATTAAAAATAAATTGGCTCAATACACCTTTAGTCTCCATGCATGAATGTCTATGGAATGAAAGCTTGGATGTTTGAAATTTCGCAGAGGCCTTTTGAGATTGAACTGACTTCATGATCCTGCTTTGTGTAACTGCTTGACACCATTACCAATCTTCCAAGGAAATGTCTTTACCTGGTGTTTCCCCCCTTAATGCGAAAGAATAGGATTTCCACAACCTTAACAGTACTGGTAAATAAGGAAGATGATAAAGAAATGAAACCTGTGCAATCAGATTTTTTTTTAAAGGAAAGGAGAAAATCTCAAATTACTTTTTCAGAATTTTTATTTTATTTTAAATATTTAGTAGTAATAGTTGTAAGAAAATATTTGATGGCAAAAGTGAGAATTTAGTATACACCAGTTCAAATCATCAGTTTATAAGAATACTACAAAGGATAAGATATGGTTCAGCGCAAGTTACAACAATGTTGTCAGAAAAGATAGAAAAAGTCAACATGATGATTGTAGCAATGTGATTAACACACAGTCCCTTTATATGCAGATGTAGAAAAGGAATAGGACTTTGATCATGCTGTTACCACCCCCTTGATCTTTTTCTTACCGCAACAGCCACTGCTAGACCCCAAAATGATGAAGCTCCTTCTAATATAAAGTTAACTTTGATGTAAAATAAGTGCCAAGTTCCAGAAAAAAACCTAACCATTTAATCAGCATGCACAAAGACTGTAAATATCGGAAACAATATAGCATTAATTAGCAGGCACAGAAAATTAAGTTTAGCACTGCTCTTTGCTATTTTTTCTATTTTACTAAAGAACAGACAGCCTTTGAATCAGAGGTGCTTTTACCAATTTTGTTACCTGAAAACTCTTGCATCCTGCAGATTCAATCTTAATCTGAGGCTGAGCAAAAATATTAAATCCTAAATTTTCCATCTTCTCATCCAGTAATTTCTATCTGATTTTAAAAGAAAAGCCCCTTTTTCTCCAAGAGAAAGAAAGTTAGGGAAATCTCCTTGCTGTTTTTCTTCTGCTTGAGACTGAGAGAAATTGCTGGAAGCTTAAGTCACAATAGGTATGCTTCAGTTATGGAATTATATTCAGAAATGTTTATAGTTAATTAGATATCAATTTACTCAGGACATTTCCTCTGAATGGGGAAAAACTTCTCCTCTTTAGACCCCTGGGCCTTTTCCAACTTTTTGCTTCCAATGTGAGAATTTAATGAAAAAATATTTCTCCAATGAAAGACCATAGAGCAACAGAAATGGGGCGTTGGTCCTACTTGAGATGCTCCTTCTCATAGTAGGAGAAGATTATCCACGAATGGGTTGTAACTCTGCTTCTCTGTCTGGAGACCAAGTCATCTTTTTTTGGCCATACCTCTTCTGACTGGTTTCTTCCCAGTTCGATGAAGGCGTAGCGATGATGAGACTTGTGTCCTAATGAGACTTGTATCCTGTGAAAATAGAAGCCCCTACCGGACTATGGACCGTCAGATGTTCACTAGGGTGGGACTGGAAAAACTTCCCATACTATGAGAAGGAGCATCTCAGGTAGGACCAACGCCCCTTCTCTATAGTGGAGGGAAAGATTATCCAAGAATGGGATTTACCAAAGCCGGTCAGTCTTGCAGTTGAGAAGCAGTCTGGTCTCTAGTCCCTAGCTCCATGTGGACCCTCTGAAGGACTCAATGGCCAAAGGCCACCTCTGCTGAAGCATATGTGTCCAACTTGTAATGATGGACGAATGGAGATGGAGAGGACCAGGTTGCTGCTCAACAGACCTCTATAGAGGCCTGTGTCGCCCATGCCGCTGTCGGGGCCGCGCTTCTAGTGGAGTGGGCCATGATATTCCAAGGCTTCAGAAGAGCCTGGAGCTCATAGGCCGTGCTGATACACGTCCGGATCCACCGTCCCACTGTGGATGAGCTGATCTTAATGCCTATAGAAGAAGGCTAGAAAGAAAGAAAGAGGGATTCCG